ACACCATGAGCTACTGACTCAACTTTCAGAATTTTGTAACGAGTAGCTGTAAGGGTAACTGCGCGGGGGCAACCAAGGGGTATATGGCGATTATGAAAGGGGAACCGAGAACGCTTACCAACTTCGAAAAAATTCTTAAAGGAAAGTGCAACCCTTTCCCCAGCGACCGATTCCACCTACCTTTCATAGGATTCTCCCAAAGGTGCTGTACCCATTTCAGCTTCCTACCGCTTTACATCAAGCTTTCGCAGGGGGTACGTATTTATTGCGGATCCGCTTTTCTAATCCATTACTTTAGCCTTCGTGTTTCTTTTAAAATTTTGACGTGAGAGGTGAAATGTCATAGTTACTCATTTCTTAGCGTTGCGCTGTGAAGATCAAATGTTGGCTTCAGAATAGCGGAAAACCCTGTTGGGTCCATCAGGTGGCAGCTCCGATCTTTTCATCCGTAACAGTCCTCAACGACGTCGGCTATATCACATCAGTTGACGGGACCATAGCAAAAGTATGGTTGAGCAACGGCAACAGGGTTGGTATTGTCGTTAGGCATGCATGGTATGGCGAAATATCAAATGAAAAATGCTTTAGGAATGTACCATCACAGTACGAGAGCCCATATTTGCATCTTTGGCAGTATTCGATGAATGTCTGTACGCTCTAACGGAACATGGTTGCTTGTTCACAATGACTGAAGATCTTCATATCCTTCGTTCTTTTCATTTTGAAGGATGTTCCTTTATAGTGCCCCCAAATCGTATTGCTCCTTCTGTTTTTGCACTTGTTTCATCATCTGGAATGCTGATTATTTTTTCGGAGAACAAAAATGCAGCGCATGGATTTCGTCTAGGAAATGGTAAAGTTTTTTCGAAGGTTGTATTCACTAATGAAAACCGGTATCTACTTGCTGGTAATCGTGATGACTGGTTACGTTGTTTTGATATTCGGACTAAAATATTTAACCATGCAGACTGACTAGTTCTTTCTTGCGCATTTCACCTCCCTGTAGATCTCTTTGATTCCTGTTTTTGTAAGTTTTATGCTAGCATGTGTTCATACTTTGCGTCAGCGTGCGCCAGCGACTAGGAAAGCATAGATATCGATGTAGCGAACGCCAGCGTATGCCATCAAACGCTAGCATTTCCGTGGGAATTCTAGTTTGGCCAAAACCGCCCGTGAAAGCGCTGCTGTACGCTGGCGCACGCTAGATAGGTACCTATACTTTCCTGATCGCTGGCGCTGGTGTGTGCTCGAAACGCTGCTGTGCGCTGACATACGCTGGCGCAAAAGATGATCGCAGTCATACTAGTGCTCGTTTGAGATTCATACCAGGAAGTACTCTCTCGTTGAGTGCTCCATGATCCACTACGCCACACGCCACTTAATTGTTGATAAGTAATTACACAATAAAGTCTCTATTTTTCTATATTGCTGAGAAACTGACATTGGTGAAAAAGGTAATGATCTCAAGCCACATATTTACGATTTTTGACACTACTTCCTGTTCTTATTCAAAGCTCCTGTTTCGTGTAACCCTAGTTGTCATTTCTTGTGCGCGCTTTTCAGCCGCAACGCCTGCATTTCTTATCCGTTACTTCCGGGTTCGAAATCGTCCCACAAACACAGTGTCGGCTTGGTTGTCTTTACTATGCCTTACAAGATTTGTTATCGATGGAAGTGTTTATTTTGCCTGACGTTTCAACGGTATCGTCGTTATCAATGGCCTGAAAGCATATCGAAACTCATGAAAGCTATCGATGCAACCTAAGCCCGTTCTTAACTACTAGCAACCCAGACAGCCAAGAAACTTTTATCAGCGAAAGGGATAACAAAACTACAGGATGATAGCATACTACCATAGCAGTGCTCGGTCAGTCTCACTTGCTCCATTGTGTCGAAATCGAGCAGCTCGTTGGTGCTGGTGGGAGTGGAAAGGTAATCTGAAGTTTTGAGTTCCCTTTCGTTGGTAGTTTCTTGGTCTGGGTTGCTAACTAGTTAAGAACGGGTTTAGGTTGAACAGGATCGATAGCTTTCATGAGTTTCGATATGCTTTCAGGCCTTTGATAACGACGATACCGTCGAAACGTCAGGCAAAATAAACACTTCCACCATAAAAACCTGTACGGCATAGTAAAGAAACATTGAGCCTATATATTAGGTCGTTGCATTAGTCTTCCCCCGACATTTTTTTTGAAATAATCGTTACGAGGAACAGCCTGCAGATAAGAGGTTTGCGACCATCCAGCCATCCACTACTCGGCCAACGCTCAGGCAGCTTGTCGATTCCATCGTCCCAGAAGGACGGGGGCTGGGACCCGAAGAAGGCCACAATGCACACAATCACCACTGTGACATGGTTTTGCACTGGAAATTGTGGGGCATTGTAGCCTGCAAATGCAGGGTGGGTGAGTGATAGCTAGTGTGGTGAAAGAGTATTATGTACACGTTACGCACACATGACGACGACATACCAACCTGCATACAAGCGAAATACGGAAGGATCAAAACAGGGGGAAAAACTTATGCAACAACCTAATGGAAATGCCCAGGTTAAAAGAAAGGCGAACATGGAGGCAATAGATTCCTTCTCTTTGTAATACACGCTACTTCCGATTCTTCCCGCAGTTCCATGTTGACAATCGGTATGGGTGGATTTTTTTATCATTTTGCGTAGCGGCTGTAACTATGGGCGTGGCTCTTGTAGCTGGTCGCGGACTCGGCGCTGCGGGGTGATTCGGCTCGCCATTGGCCGTCTCAGGGCATTGTCAACCGGGAAGCCTCTCCTCTCTTTCCTTTTTTCTTCCTCCTTCCTTCTTTTCCTTCCTTCCTTCTCTGATCCCTCCTCCTTTACCTTCTCCCTTCAACTACTGGACTGGTAGATGCCTCGTGAAAATACCCCTGGACCCTCGCAGCGAGAGCACGTCTGGTTGACAACAGCCCCGTAACCGCCATTGGCAGAGGACGAAAAATCCTTGTTTTACCGATTTTCCATCTCTCTGAACATTCTCGAATCTGGCAATCATTTTCTTGCTTGAGAATATTTTTTGCTCTCCATCTTACGATTTTATCAACAGCTCTACAATATTTTTTATTTCTGTGTAGGCCTAAATGGGTTTGTTCGATCAAGCAGAGTTTGACAAGGAAACGTCTCGTAGTTTCGATCCAAAGGAAATTGCCTTGGCGAGTGCTCGCTACGAGAAGAAAGCTGCAGAACTGCTCAAAGATGTTGGTTTTGTTCGTTTTTAGAATTTCTTTCATAATCGAGCCTTATCATATTCGCTTCCGATCCTTGTACTATGATGTTGTGCATATTTCAGAAAGAAGAGGTGCGAAAGGTTATCGGTTACATTGATCTGACCACGTTAGCCGGAGACGATACCAAGGGTAGGGTTGTTGCGCTCGTGGATAGAGCATTGTCACCAGTTCCTGGTGTAAGTATCTTCAACGTAGCTCTAATGTTCTATGACTTGAAAGAGGATTCCAATTCGGTATACTAGTTGGCTGCGAATGAAGGGGCGTGTCAGGCAGTATGAGTGTGCTACGGCGCCAAACCCGTTCTCTACCAGTTGTTGAAGCGGGTATGCGACAACAGTTGGTAGAAAACGAGTGATACGAACGATATGATACAGTCTTGTCACTTGCTCGCTTCAACAACTGGTGGAGAATGGGTTTGGCACAGCGCCAAATTCATCCTGACAGGCCCCTTCGTCCGCACCGAATTATACTATACATACACTAAAATCAGGCCTGTTTTAATGCTCAGCATTTGGTATTGCGCTGTGCTACTCCGATGTTTCGTTTAGACCTGAATGTACTACTACCAATATAGCAGCAACACTTCATTGGGAGAATTCTTACAAGTATTCTGGTGCGTAGCACTTCTAGAGGGACATGGATCAGCTATAATGTTGTAGCTGTCCTTGTGAGACCGTGCCTCTCAGATGCGTTCTCGAAAAGAAAAGGTGTCAAGGACATACAATTTGTCGAGTATATAGCGGAAGGGAGGGGGGAGGGGAGGGGATCATTTTACTGTACTCAACCATTCATATATATTGGGTCAGTGTTTATTACCCATTGTTTCTTCCATTCGCCCTCCTCCTCGATCTTCATCATCCTCGTGGTCTCCCGGTGCTACTCTTAACCGTACCACCCTCATACGTCCAGCATCTTGCCTATCGCGTTTTTTATTAGATGGGTGATAACATGAGCGACGAAATGCACACCAACGTGGGTGGCTTTGTTCAGACTGAGAATTTGTAAAAATCAGCAGATCGCCCGTCCAAAACATGCATAGTCACGCATTCTTTTAGTGTTTCCATTCTTTCTCCAAAGTCGAAGGAAAACCATTGCTTCCGTTAAACTGCTTAAACTCTATCGGAGTAATGAAAAAAAGCTTCCCGTTTTGTAGGCCTAATTTTGTTCTTCTAGTATCTTGTGCACATTCAGGATAGTTCCACTACTTGTGCTGCCGTTTGTGTTTATCCGCAACGTGTGCGCGATGTAATAAAACATCTAGACGAGATAAAGAAAACGATCAATGTTGCAGCAGGTTCGTATCTTTTCTTTTTCGAATTCTTTTGTACAACAATAGGAGATGAAATTAATCATTAGTTGAATCCTTTCCTGATTGGTCCTTTCCTTCCCCCTTGAATTCTGGGTGGTACGACTTTGCAGGGAAGCTTTACTAATGTAAGTATCGAGAAAGCGGGGCATACGAACATTGAAGCTAAACTTCCACTACTCCAACGCCTTCTACTACATCTTCACCGTTCCGGCTGCTACCAGTTGAACTCCGAACAGTTTTAGAGGGCGTTCTGTCAACTTTCGGTGACAATGCCTCATTCTCGTTTGACTGATAGAGCAGCCAAAACGGTGAAGATGAAGTAGAAGGCGTTGGAGTAGGGGCGCTAGTACATTTTCAGTTGATGTCAACTCAATCGATGAAGAATACTATGCACGAACGCCGTTTTGATTTACAAACACTTTTCTTCCTCACGGCATTTAATATAGCTTTGCTTTGAAAGATCCGCGGCTGCATTTCTTCAGACTAAAAGAGCAAAACTTTTCTTAAAACTTCGAACAACATAACATATCCTCTGACGTTTTAACAGATTTTGTGAAGTCAATAAACTACTTTCAGTTGCTGCGGGTTTCCCCTCTGGACAATATCACCTGCAGTCGAAGCTGGTGGAAGTGCAGTTGACAGTAGCTGATGGTGCTACAGAGATAGATATTGTCATCAGTCGCGCCGCGGCTCTCGAGGGCGAATGGGAAAGTGCGTTCGCTTAACAGGAACAGTCTATTACTTTTCGTAGAGTCTTAAGGCCAGAAGTTGCTACCGCGCTAGAAGCACTTTTTCGTCGCTACCTTTTGCTTGTTCTGTTTTCTCAATTTGTCCATTTTCATCTTTTAGCTGTCTACGATGAGGTTTTGGCACTTAAATCAGCGTGCGGTAGCGCTCATCTCAAGACGATTCTTGCAACTGGAGAGCTGAAAACTTTGGCAAATGTTTACAAAGCGAGTTGGGCTAGCATCTTGGCAGGTAAGAACGTTTGCACTGCTTCAATCTTCTGCGTTCTGAAAGTTTGCATCTTTTCCAGGCTCCGACTTTATCAAAACCTCAACGGGAAAGGAAACCACAAACGCTACTCTGGAAGTAGCGTTTGTGATGTGTTCGGCAATCAAAAGATGGCATGAACTTACCGGCAAGAAGGTGTGTTCTAGTCGTTTTGCCCGATAATTTATTTTAGCTGTTTGTTCTACAAGTCCAACTTACAGGTGGGCTTCAAACCAGCTGGAGGGATCAAGACACCACTGGAGGCTCTTGCTTATGTTGCTCTTATCAAAGATGTACGTCATCGCGTTTCCTTTTGTGGTACTCTCAACTTACGAGCATAATGTTAGTACAAAAAGGTGCAACTTGGTGTTAACTATCTGCACGAGTTCTGTGATTTCCTATGTTAAGGAAAATCGACCACTTTTTCCTGATTATTTTGTTTTAATCAACTTTGGGAAGGTATATCCATGATGTCTGGCTTCGCCCGCTTCCCGAAGAAACAATCTTCTCATTCAAAGGGTGTTGTTGCCATAGGGGGAAATACACTTTCCTGAACATTATTTCTCAATTGGCTCCACCGATGTGAAAATGTAATTCAGAGAAAACGTAATTACAATAACTGCGGGGTTAGTCGCAGTCTGTATTCTTACCCTCACGAATGGAACTAGTACCAATTTACCGTCTCCGCAGGGCAAAAGGCTTTGTTGGTTTGAGAGAGAGGCGATCCCGGATTTGATCTGCGGGGGGCCGCGCCTCGTAGTAAGTGTGCCACATTACACCTCCGCCTCCAGGAAGTGCTAGTTTTCTATTCATTTATTGAAAGGGGAACGGGAGAAACTAAAACAAGAATCAGTAAGCATAGTTATCTTACGTCTTTAGGGCGCGTTAGGTTTCGCCTTAGTTGAAGACGAAAGTGTTTCTTGGGACCCTCGCCACGTTTACTCTGCCCTCCTCTTGTCTGTTTCACCTTTTAATTTTTTTTTATTTCTCTTCTTTCAGGTTTAATGCGACGAATTAGGCCAGCATTCTCAGGGACGAGTGGCCTCACTCCGCAACCTATTCGAAAATTTGGTGCGAGCGAGTCTCTCGATAATTGTTTGAAGCGCTCTCTGATTTCTCCGTTTAGCTGATCGGCACAGCCTGGAATGGGTTAGTAAGCCGGCCCAGGCGACTTTCAATGCAATCGTTCGTTTTCTTTCTCTAGATAGAAATTATATTGCTAATTCCAGTTAGTTATTACTAAGACTTCAGTCTATCCTAGGAACCATTTCTGTGATTTTTTGGGTATGGTGGAAAGTGGACTATTCGCTCAACATGCTATGAATTCTTGATAACATACTGTTAAAAAGTTTATGAGATTTAGCATCCTATTTGCGAAAAACGGTTGTGTTTGACAGATTTTCGTGTGATTATCGTTCGGGGTTAATAAAGCACTTCTGGCGATCTGTTTATTCAAATGGAAACCGTAAATAATTCACGAAGGTATTGATTCCTCTCCCGCATACCATTACAACTAACTTCGGCCATTCTTTACTGGTACCTTTCTTGTTTTGTCTTCAGAAACCTTGCATCTAACTAGACTTGATTAGATCCTGCTATGCGCGTGACATTTCTTCACCCTGACTTGGGTATTGGTGGTGCTGAACGACTCGTTGTGGATGCAGCTGTGGCACTACAAAATAAAGGTCATCAAGTGAAGATAGTGACAAGCCAATTCGATCCCAATCATGCATTCAAGGAAACAAAGGAGCTAGGTAGTGTGGAGTTTTTTATTGGAATGGTTACCGTACATTTGAGTCTAAATCGTTTGTTGCTTGATCATACATGCTGGCTCGGAACATACCACGCAGAGTGTGTCTACGACGAGGGAAATTTCATGAGCGATCCGAGACTCTTACGATTGTTTATCTGGCCAACGTTTCGGCAATAGTGCTCTTTTCAGAGACTGAAAATAGGCTTCGATCTAGAGGCTCTGAAGAAGGCAATACTGCCGAAAATCTGGCTAGGTAAAAAAAAATTGTAACAGTCTCGTATCGCTCAGGAAAGGAGGTGAGGGGGTGGAACCAATTTTAATAACACTGGAAAATAAAAAGGAGGAAGAATTGATGGAGTCATTGGTAGTACAGACGTTCGTGCATTACCATTGGCAAGAATAATTGTCCCTCTCCGTGGGCTGGCGTGGTCAGACGTGTGCTTATTAGTAAAAGGACGGAGAACGATAGGGATAATAAGCTATTTACGGTAAGTATTAACCCAACTGTAGTTGTGTGAGGTAGAATGGAAGTCCTGTGGGGATCCACTCGACCCGTATGAGGAGGATTCTTCGCCACGGGTAGGGATTTTTTTTGTAAGGCAATGCGCATGGTGTTTACTTTAGCCGTAGTCGTCGTTGGATCGGTTGATGAGATTAGGGATATCGTCCCCTAGAGAGCAACCGGTACTTTCATAGGTTTGAACCTTCTTACGAATGGGCGAAATCTCCTGAGAAAAAGGTGAAAATTCAGATATAACGGTCATCCAGTGGTTTCCGCGCATGATTTTTGGTTGTATGTGGGCATTTATGCCGCCTTATGTTAGGATGTGTCTTGCTGCTATCTATGTCTCTTTGTATGTCGATAGCGATGTCATCATATGTGATCAGGTACTCCTGTTTAGAAAATTGATGCAATCATTCACAACTTTTTTTGCAGTAGTCCTAACTTTTAAGGTGTCAGCGGCTTTAATAGTACTGCGGTGTTTATCACGGGAATCTTCGCCTCTATTTTTTATACTGTCACCTTTCCCGACATGTTGCCTCTACGCACACCACCGGAGTCTTTCCTGAAATCGGTATACAGGTATACAGAACGAAGATTTAAAAACCTGCTTAAACTTAAACTGACACTCCGTCGTAGGACGGTTCTTGCCTTGCACGAGAGAATGATGGGTTAGCAGCTCTACGAGTGTGTCACTTTCGTCAACTGAAGCTGTTGTCCGGAAAACGACGGTCGAGGGTAGGTGACGTAAACGAATAGCGCTTCCAGGCTCCACTCGCCGCCATTTCTCAACGTGTAGTCACTTTGCCTGTCCAATTAGCAATAGTTCCCGCCTTGCGAAAACATTCGCAGCTAGATAGAGATACACGCCAGAAGTTAAATGAGAAGGACGCTTACAAGTACGTTAGGCTATGGTTAGGGGTGTGGCTGGTCGTGTGCAGTGTGGACGGAGGCAGAAGACAGTGCCTGTACCACCCAGGGCTTTGTCGTGCACGTTTTGAGTGCAAAAAGTGGAATTCTACTGCGACTGCGGACTTATTCTTCTCGTACATGGCAAGCACCAGGATCGACGGAGGTAAGCATTTAGTTCATCTTTGATACGAGCAGAAAATACACTCATCTTATGTTGCCTTCAAGGGCACGTCTGAGAAGCCTCGCACTTGGGGCTCTACTTTCTCCTTTCCAGCGCCTACCTCTTAGGTGAGCATGATAGTTTCAATTAAGGTATTTCCTCGACTCGATTGAAGAGTTTTCGACTGGACTAGCTGATGTAATCTGTGTCAATAGCTTATTCACTGCATCAGTGGTTAAGAAGACATTCAAGCACTCCAAAACCGTGGGAATTATTCGGTAAGTCAGGAATCCGCCAAAGGGGAGTACACCAACTGCTTTCCCTGCATCTTCTGTAGCAGCATCCTACCTATATATAGATAAACGGCAAAACGTCCTGTCGTTGTCTGTTTGGTCTGTTCTGTTTGTCTGTTTGTCTGGTCTGCGTCTGTCACTGTCCGGAAAGTCGCGAATCACCTGAAGAGCCACGCTGAGAGAAGCCCGACGGGCTCGTCAAGGTGGCGTTGGGCCTAGGCGCATGGGCCAAAGCACTGTACGCCGGAACACACGTCAACCGAGCTAAGCCCCGCCCACTGTGGGCGGGGCGTGCGCACAGTTGTGAGCTACATATTTCAAAAATTCGTAGTTCGGTTCTAGAAGATCCCGGAGAGCGGAAATTGTGGGAAACGATAAGCAGTCAGTTGGCGGATGAAATGAGGGAGTCACACCCATGATGGGCGAGGCGTGCTATAGGTGGGCGCCGTGCCTCGCACTACAGAACTTTCAAAATTCGTAATTCCGCGCTTCCAGAAGACTCCCGGAGAGCTGGAAATTGCTGGGAAACGATTAGGCCAAACAGTGCCAATGAAATGGAGGCGGAGTCACACCCGTGGATGGGCAGAGGCGTGCTATAGGCGGCGCGTGGCTCGTACCAGAACTTTCAAAAATCTCCTAATTCGCTTCCAGAAAGTATCCGCGAGAGCGGGTAAATTGTGCTCGCGAACATAAGCCAGTCAGTTGGCGGATGAAATGAGGAGTCACACCCGTGATGGGCGAGGCGTGCTATAGGTAGGGCGGTGCTCGCTACAGAACTTTCAAAAATTCGTAATTCGGTTCCAGAAGATCCCGGAGAGCGGAAATTGTGGGAAACGATAGGCAAACAGTTGGCAGATGAAATGAGGGAGTCACACCCGTGATGGGCGAGGCGTGCTATATTAGCGTTGGCGCGGTGCTCACACACAAAGCCTACAAGAACTTTCAAAAATTCGTAATTCGCCGTTCCACGAACGATCCGCGAGAGCGGAAAATTGTGGCTCCGTCTGGGAACGATAAGCAGTCAGCTGTGCGGAATGAAATGAGGGAGTCACCGACCGCCTTGATGGCGAGGTCGTGCTATAGGTGGGCGGTGCGGTGTTCGCTACAGAACTTTCAAAAATTCGTAATTCGGTTCCAGAAGATCCCGGAGAGCGGAAATTGTGGGAAACGATAGGCAAACAGTTGGCGGACGGAATGAATGAAGCACACCCACGATGGGCAGGGCGTGCGCCGAAGTGAACGGTGCCGGGGATAAAAACCCTCAAAATACATCCGAAAAACTCCAGGAAATGGGGAGTAAGTGAAAATGAGCAATGGTTGGGCAGATGATGTTAGTAAGGGATAACCCTAGGGAGTATACCAAGTCTCCCGGGTCCGTTTTCTGTGGTTCCTCAGCATTGACTTGGAGCGCCGGTATAGAAAATTTTGCTGACTGTCTTGCTAGGGGGGGGGACCCACTTCACACCCGGAAGGAGGATCGGCCGGCGAAGCCGGCCGATCCGACTGGCCCTCCCTCTCATGGAAAACTTCTCACCGGGACCCACTTCACACCCGGAAGGAGGATCGGCCGGCGAAGCCGGCCGATCCGACTGGTATACATATAAATGAGTTCCCTCAAAACGCACTTTTCGATGTCCACATATTTTACCAATCGTTGCTAAAAACCGCTGTAAGTGTGAAGGTAGTCAGGGTTTCATTAAAAATTGTGTATTGTCGCTAATGCTTATTAAGACCGTTTTTCAGTGCTCTACCCCACACTCAATACAGACTTTTTTGATGATGCAGGTGATTGCAATATTCCGGAACTTCCTTCAACAGCTGAGCACATCTTCACTTCTCTCAACCGATTCGAAGTCAAGAAGAATGTGAAACTCGCCATTGAAGCCTTTGGTAAGCCTTACCAACTCTTATGTTTCTCTTTTTGCAAAGTACTTCACTGACGAAGCCCAGCCAAAGCGCATATGCGGAAAACAGGTGTAGTTAACCAAGTTCACGAATTTATCACTTAGGCCGTCATACACAGCGCCCCGGCATCGCGAATTTTAAGTCGCATACGTATACTTTGCTTTTTTCTAAAAATTCCGCGGAGGCACGGAGGCCCGCAGAGGCCGTGGCCTTCCGCCCTCCGCGAATTTCCAAATGCGATACGGTATACTTTGTTGCGCTCTAAAAATTCCGCGGAGGCCACGGTAACGGCGCGGAGGCCGCTGTGTTATGAAAAACCGCGGGCGCGGCCTTAGAATTTGTTCGGCCCTCAAGTTTCACCTATGCACCCTTTTCTTGTTACGCAAAGGCCTTACTGCCTTCACAATTGATCATGCATTTCGGGTTTTACTTCAAAGTAAAAGAAGTGTTAATGCTTCTGTAGCGAGCCCTAATGATAATGTTATGTCTACTGTTTTTTCAAACAGTCCTTCTAGCTGCCCTTCGTTCGATGCTCTCTGACGATGAATTCGCACGTTGCCATCTAGTCATCGCAGGCGGATACGATCGGTTGAACGTCGAGAACATAACTCACTTCAAAGAGCTCGTCGATTGTGTTTCTGATATGGGCTTGAAATTCAGCCAAGTGACTTTTCTGCGTTCTCCTTGTAAGTTCCATTTTCCTTTATATCACCAAGTGATGGCCGACACTTGGGTCACTTGCATCCTGCGTGACAGATTATTTACGCACGCTGCACCCAAAACGTCGTAGGCATTGAGAAGAATGTTTGACTTGTTTCGAATGCACCCCGTCCTCTTCTCCCGGATTGTCTCCCAAAAAGACCCTTCTGATATCCTTCCTACGCTCTCACCACATTTTCTCTAAATTTTTCCACCGATTCTGATTGCAATTCGACCTCTTGTAGGACTGCGAGGCTAAAAAATGTAAAAGTCGCTGTTTTATTTACCTCATTTAGTATGGCGTCAGTGAACCGGTGGTAGAGGTATGGTAAAGAAAACTGCAATTGCTGCGAGTAGAATTTGTCACCGTAGTCCATTAGCTAGGTGGTCGGCACAACACCTCAGCCCCATATCACAGCAGCCCACTTGTTCGTATTTTTGCTTTCTCATCCTACCTTACTGATGAACGTAAACACTGCGGAAAGCAATCTTATCTGAATCATCGTTGAGCGGACACGGGTCCAAGGACTAGAATTAGGAAAACAGAATTCAGAAAGTTGAAAATTGCACCGTGCTGAGCTATAATTTAGTGCTATTCCTCTAAGGAGAACCACGGAATGAGGACGAATTCCACTCCAGTAGGGAGACCAAGACCAGTTGGCGAATGTGTAGTTTCAGGAACTCTTGTTTACCGAGCCAAGGCTTACTTGTCCCAGTCGCATTTCGTTTTAATATTATGTAGACAGTAAGGGTTTGAAAATTAAAACCTGCGTTCGTAGTAGTTCGCTATTGAAGATAAAGAGGACTGCTTATTCAGCCAACAGAAGTCGGAGAAAAGGCACGAAAAGGGAAGTGATAGCTCTTCCTAGCTTGACAGGAGGCTACGGAAATCTACGAAACTGGGTTTGTTGGGATGAGTTTGCTCTCTCCTCTCAGCAAACGCCCTTTAGGGCTTTTTTGCTGATGTGAAAATCTCTTTAGCGTGTATCGTAGTGGCTGACAAGCATCATGTTACGTATCATATCGTTTTCATGTGGTGCATGTACTTCATCCACAACACTCCTCTCACGTATAAAGCAAGCTACTACTGGATACCCTTGACCAGCCTCTCTTCTGACACAATATTCTGTCGCATTTCTTCCAGTTGGACTCTTTTATTACCACTCACTACATATAATTTGATACGTTTGTTTGTTTTTCTATCTGGGAATTGGGTTCTGCCTAGGGAACAACTTGGAGAGGTCTGATCAAGGTTGGACATTGAACAAGATGTGAAGGGCACACGTAATTCATGGTAACCCCGCCCGCTATAGGCGGGGCATGCGCCCAAGTTAGCGGTATCACCGAAAAAGTTCGTAATTCAGCTCCAGAGGAGCCCTGAGACGGGGAAAAGTGGAATATGGTTATCAAAGGGTTGATAAACCATGCGGAGGAGACACACGCGAAACGGGATTACTTGAGATGGGTGGTTTTCCCCATAGAATTCACTAACTCGGTTCCCGAGGGAAGGGAATATCGCAAAAAAAGTTTGTGGAGAAGACAAACATCTGACGAGAGTCGAGCATATCTACGGTAAGTTGAGGCTGGCCCACAGCTTGCGGAGCGTGCCCAAGCATGAGGTACTCATTTCACGGAATTATATAACTCCAGAGCACAGCAGACACCGGGAAAAGGAGGACTAAGGTCGGCAAGGGGTCGCCGAATGAGAAGTGCAAGGCATACCCGTTGTGGGCAGATCGTGCGGCGAGGTGGGCAGAGCCAAACCTAAAAGTTCGTAAATGGTTCCAGAACACTCCAGACACCGGCAGGAAGTGGATTAAGGCTAGCTAGGAGCCATTGATTGAGTAGTGCGAGCTACACCCGTTGGGGCGGAGAGTGCGGCGAGTTAGGCGGGGCCAAGAGCAAAAATCTCTAGAGTGGTTCCAGGGTACTTCGGACACCACAACAGGTGAGCAAATGTGTGCAGTTGCCTGGCTTTTAAAATCTGATAGTACGCCCATTAAGGGCGGAGCAAGTGTTGAGGTGGGCGAGGCGAAAGTAAAAGTTCGCGAATCGGTTGTAGGCAGTGGAAAATGGACGAGGTCCTTAAGGGACTAGAGAACAAAACGGGTAAGACTACCACAGAATGGAGAGGGCTGTACTCGAAGTGGGCGGCGCCTGCTAGAAATTCAGAATTCGGACCAGAGTCAGTTTGGGGATTAGAACAAAAACCGTTCGGAGAAGAGAAACATGTGGCAAAATTGGATTGTGTCTGTGGTGCGTTGAAACATGTGCCGGAGCCGCCCTCAAACACAAAAAAACATTTTAGGCATAGACAGCCGCATTCTTCACCACCGGTCGTCGTAGGATACATTTGTTACCAGGCGGCTCGCTGACTGACGCCGGCGCACCTCCTTCTGCGATGCTGCCCTGCCTTACCGGGCTTGCTTGGCTTTGCCGCTCCTACCTGCTTTCGTATCTTTGAATGCTCAAACAGTACCCGACTTTTCTGTCACTTGTCACTTGATCAGCGCTCTTTACTTCCGTTCTTTATACGGGCCGTTCACAAGGAGGCGCGCCGGCGGCAGCTGGCGAGCTGAGTGATAATGAAGCGCGCAAATTAAGAGCATAATCCGCTATTCTTCAGGTGGGGGTTTTCAATTTAGAGGTTAGAAGTTGCTTACAAATTAAACATTTGTTTCGTCGACCCACCCTGTTCGCATAGTTTAACCCAGG